AAAGGAATCATCATTTTCGGCATCCTGTATCTGCATTTCGGTATTCCTCCTCGTATTTCGTTTGCAGAATGCAGAAAATGGAAGAGTGGCAACAAAATTCGAGCAGGAAATTGTTAACCGACATCCGATGGAAAAAGCCACTGAGGTGAGCTTTTCAGTCAGATCACCACCACAATAATGAAAGACCGGCGAAATGATAGGAACTCGCTGCGTGTCTTCAGAAGTCTTACATTCAGCATGATTGATAAGCCAATCGTCGTCAGCAATGTATTCTGATATCAATGAGCCTAGACCTGTAATCCCCTTTCATAAGGATTGTAATTCATTTTGGATATGTTACCCCCTTTTTTCTCAATGGAAGGGGAAGAACACTGAATTTGTATATCTGCGTTCAGGAAAAATTTTTGGCCTGCAGAGAATGATACTCGGCAGGCTTTGCCCATGGCTGGATATTCTCGTCACCTTATATCGGAATTTCAGTATTCGTCCCCATATTTCATCATTTGGAAGGCACACAACGGAAAATTGGCAATTGAAATTCATAGGAAAATTGGGTTTTGGCACAAATGACGATATTCGGCACTCAGGTGCACTTTTCAGCTGAATCGAGCAGCAAAAGTGAAGCACCTGTGAAATCATTAGCAAAATTTGACCTGCCAACATGTGTCGAGTTGCTCACGCACTAGGAATGGGCTACATCTTTCAAAATTAGGGAGAAGTTTTTTCTCTGTTCTTCTGTTCACTGAATTGCTGGTGGAACTTTTGGCCTATCCGGCAGCCCTTTGGGTTCTGACCGGTTAGGAAATTAAGATCCATTCCTCTCCTAAGAACGTCCCATAACAATCTCCCCGGAAACATATCAAATTTGCATTTGCGATCTGCTCTACCGAGGAACATTCTGTGAGTGAAGCGCCCTCGCGCAATTCACTCGCAATTGCTTCAACTTCATTTCTGTTCATCGATAGCAAATTTTAGCTGGAAACGTGTCCGACAATGAATTCCAGATTCCGCTTTGGATCTTGAGATTCCAGTCGCCGTATTCCACGTTCAGTTTCACGTAGGACAGTAATGGAGGATGTTTCCTTCACAGCGCCAAATATGACATTTCATTGCCGAAACTGCGTGTCTCCTAATACGATCTATCCCTCATGGACAATAGCAGATATCATTTTGCCAGAAATGCGTTCTCTTTTCACAGATACTTCTGCAGACATTCTTCAACTATGGAATGCCCCAAAAATGAATTACAAATATCTTGCTAGCCAATTCCAGTTGACCTACTTATAGCATTTTCTAACTGTAAACTTGATTGTAAGTTGAATTTATGGCATTTCTTGCAGTTCTATTGGTTTCCCTTGCTTGAATAATCAAATAGCCCTTCCCATTCCAACGAATGAATACCATGGACAATCTCGAGATTCTATTCGTCGTATTTCATTTATATTTTTGCTTTAATAGGAAACACCGAAAAAGACATTTTGTTGCCGAAACCGTTTGTGAAGGTGATCCAGTTCTCTTGGATGAAAGCCAATTCTGATTGCCCAAACTGCTACCACTTTTCGCACATATTTCCGACAACATTCTTTACCCACCGAACGCCGAAAATGAATTGCAAACCATCTAAAAGCAAGTTGCAAAAGGTATAGAAACAGGATGACAGATTAGGGGTCAGTTGCACTGCCTCAATAAAGGTCAGATTCCATTAAGTCAAACTTAGAAAGCATGGTAAACAGGCTCCCAAAGTCAGACTTTGTGCGAAAGTCTGACTGATGGGTGTTGTTGGGGGCTTAGATTTTATAAGAAAACACTTCTAGTATAGAAGGGAACATTGCAGCTGTTGAATGATTCCAGAAAATTGGTGCAAGTGTGGGTCAAATGGTGTTGATTCCATTAAAATTAGAACTTCTCAGTCCTTAATCTTTCATGCTGCAATAATTGAACATTTTTAAGAAGCTTTATACTGGTCCATGTATAAGCATGACCTAATATTGGTTTTCTCAAAATACAGGGTGATCACATGAAACCTTTACAACTTAGAATAAGCCTAACTTCCAAATGGGGTAATATAATTTGAAGCAGTTTCCTGCATATTGTTAAGCAACTCAAAAAGTTTATTGCAGCAGATTATTTGTGTTCCAGGTTACTGCAGGTGATTGAACAACCCCAAAACCTGAAAATGACAACACCACAGGAAAAGGCACAGTATGTAGTATGGTTCATGTAAATAAAATCGGACGTGCAGGTGCAACATAATTTTTTAACAAAATACCAAAGGACACCACCTGGTAGACCATTGATACAGGACTGGCATAAGAAGTTCACGGAGACCAGAAATGTCCTACGGTAGCCAGGGCCTGGGTGTGCAAGCACAAGTGGATGTGGAACGGATCTGACAATTCTTTTTGCGTAGTCCTCAGAAATCCACATGCAAGTGTGCCCAGGAATTGCTGATACCACAATCAACAGTGCACAAGGTGCTACACAAGCTCTTGAGACTGCATGCATTCAAGGTTCAACTTGTACAGCAAAAATTATGTTGCACCTGAATGACTGATTTTGTTTCAGTGAACCATGTTATGTTTTTCCTGTGGCATCATCATTTTTGGGTTTTGGGGTTGTTCAACCACCTGCAGTCACCTGAAGCACAAAAAAATCTGCTGTAAGAAAATTTTTGAGTTGCTTAACAATATGCAGAAAACTGCTTCAAATTATATTACCCCATTTGGAAGTTGGGCTTATTCTAAGTTGTAAAGGTTTCACGTGATCGCCCTGTATATTGTTCAGTGCACCCTATGTGTCAGAGTGCCCCTCTATAACAGCTGGAGAAATTTTTTGTCTTAAGTGTCTGGTTCTCAATTGATGGGCAATGCTGAAATGAAGTTGAATGATTGTATCTTCAGGACTTCTGCATTGTTGCTAGAACTGTTATAGACCAAGGTTGCCTAATCAGAAATTTCCAGGAAAACTCTTGAAATTTTAAACCTATTTGCATACAATGATGTACTAGTATTTCCTATTTAAACTGGTCAATTTCACCAAAAAATGTACCAATACACTATTGGAAATAGATGGGTTACTAAAGGTAACTTTTCATCAAATTTGATTAATTCAATTTGAAATTGACCAGTTTAACCCTTTCAGACCTGGCATCCATTCCAATGGACATTACATTTACATTATACATATGGCAATTTCTTAGAATTCTTGTGACTTTGCCCTCCATATTACGCTACAATGGGTGCAATTATGCATGGCTTAGTTCCATCAGAGGCCTTCTTTCACCCATTAATTTTGTAAGCTTCTGTTATTTAATTAATTGTATAATATATAATATATGGTATGATATGGTAAATTGATACAAAATATGAAAACTACATATAAAGCACAAAAATTTCAATTACAATCACGAAAGAGCTCAAAAATGCAAAAAAGGATATTATTCCAAAGCTCATGAGAACCATCTGCAAGAGATAACTAAGCCAAAAAATTAACTTAAATGGAAGAAGAGTTTGATGTCATTATGACCAGGAAGGACAGAGCTGTTTCATCCACTATACTGCTGGATGGAGCTCTTGTCCATTCTCAAATTTAATTTCCTTTCAATAATAGCTGATAATATTGCATTGGCTCAAGTAATCCAGATTGCATTTTGAGAATCAGTGGAAAATGTATTCACTATGCATGTAAATACAAGGTGTCCCAAAAGGTATGGAAACATTTCAAAAATTAATATCCCTCTAAATTATGCCTCAATTAAAATGATTATGACAGTAAAATGAAGTTCAACTCAAACATTTTTCAACCTGCTATTGCATTTCCACATGGGCACCATTTGTGATTATGTAGATGTCTAAGTGATGTTCGAGCTCTTACCACACTTTTTGCAGAGTGTTAGGCATAAATATAAGGATAGTTTGGACAATTCTGTTCTTTGGATCTTGATCAATTGCCTACTTTTCTCCAGTAAGCGATGTCCTTGACATAGCCCACAAGAAAAAGTCATCTAGGGCTAGTTCAGGTGATCTTGGTGGCCATGGAAAGAACCTGCTTTGTCCAATTCACAAATCTGAATTTTTTTTCCCATGCCTTAGCTTGCTAAAATGTGGAGTTGCAACATCTTAGAAAATTAGATTTTTATTGTGCCTGAACCCTTCCCTCTTGGATGTTTTTTTTCTTGTGGGGCTATGTCAAGGACATTGCTTACTCAAGAAAAGTTGACAGTCTCCAATCTGATCTGAAGAACAGAATTGTTGCAGCTATCCAGACAGTTATATATGACACTCTGCATAAGTTGTGGTAAGAGCTTGAACATCGTTTGGACGTCTACAGAGCCACAAATAGTGCCCATGTGGAATTGCAATAACAGGTTGAAAAATGTTTGTGTTGCACTTCATTTTACTGTTTTCAACATTTTATTTGAGGCACAACTTAGTGAGATATCAATTTTTGAAATGTTTCCATACCTTTTGGGACACCCTGTACATGCATAGTGAATGTTTGTCATCTATCTTTTTTTTGCCATTCCATGCATATTGCAAAAGTGAAGAACCCACTCTTGCAAATGATCAATATGATGTGATATCGCTGTGAGATTCAGTGCCCCATGAATACCTGGCAGCAGCAAATATAACCTGCCTGTGGTCTGGAGCATGAGTTAACAGAACAGGATAATGTCAGTACAACTAGAGTTCATTTTGATTTAACTGGATGGCAGTTGGATAGGAGTTGGTAGGAAAGGGAAAGTCTGGTTTTGCAATTTTTATTCCTTCTCTGTAGTGGAGTGAATCATACACAGTTCATTCATGGACATGCAGGTAACATTTCTTGATTAGAATGTGTTCATGAAATCATGCTATAGGGTTCTAGTATAAAACTGACAGAGGAGACATTGGCCAAGTTCATCAGTGGGCCTTCACTTTTGGCTAGGTGTATAAATGATATCTCCTCAGGTATTATTCTCTTTAGTTTTTGTTTTTTGTGAAGTTACTGTTAGATAAATTATGTTTGATGACTATGTATTCTTAGGAAAAGCAGAGGGTGAACAGATTTTGCTGAAGGGTGAAGCATTAACTGCAATAAGGAGCATCATATGCAGATCCATCCCTAAGGAATTGAACAACAAAGCTGCCCTTTATGCCCATTTTGCTACGTTTGGCCAAGTGACTCGGATCATCCCTCTCCCCAGCAAGGACACAGCTTACATACATTTCTCAGCACATGTGAGTATTGCATGTCCTTTTGTCTCTACCTAGCACTGGTGTGGTTTCTGGATCACATAGATTCAATGCTTGTTGTATGGTAGGAGGAGGCAGCAAAAGCCAAGAAGAAGGGGAGTGTTATCAGTGCCAAGTATCCACCAGTGAAGATCATGTATTCACTGACCAAGAGAGATAAGGAACGGTTTGATGTGGAAGCATCTACATCTCTGCCAGCCACAGGAGGGAGGCCACTTGTCGACTATCGGAATTCCATCTTTTCTACAGATCCGCAGTGAGTTCTTCAAAGACAAAAGAAGGAGTGAAAGTAATTGTGTATCAGCATTACAGCGTTACTATATTACTACAGCTTGACTTTCCAGGAACAGCCTAATCTATTTGAGCAATATATTGAAAGCATCATATCTGTATTTAAAAAATTCAATAAATTTTTTTTTTTAGTCACACGGCTGGGTTATTTCAGGACCTTTTTAAATTTGTGGGTTGCATGAAGATGGGAAGAGGACTTGATGGGTTGCAGCCGTGAAAAGGTTGAGAACCACTGGTTTAGACTACGCAGCTACATCCAAATCACTACATGACTTTTGTTGTGTTACACCCTCATGGAGCATTTTAATCACCCATTCCTTTTGTTGCTGTGTTAACCTAGGCATATCCCTGATAATTTTCAGAGATTGTATGACATGCACAATGAAATCAACTCATTTTTTACCTACAGAAATCAGAACTTTACATATGGCATGGAGAATACCTAAATAGGCATTTTCCTGATATGGCATATGTACTGTGCTCAAAAGTCAGCCAATACACACTAATTATGTTCAGGCAGTGCTGACTTATTCACCAAAGGGCAGATGTAATGTCATCAAAACTCCTACTACATAGGTGAGCCCTGAATTACCTTGTAACATTTCTTTAATGCTAGTATAGAAGTTCATCTGCATGTCTTGGATGTGGTTGATGTATTCTATGAATGCATCTGTCTGATACATGCCTCTGATTGGCATTTCAAGCCAGTTATAAAGTAGGGTGACTTCTCTGATAATCCAAGTTCCCTCTTCTTCCCTTAAGGCACCTTGCTATTAATCCGTTGTTGAATGTTTAATTTCACAAAATTGACTCATTTGATTGAAATTAGTTGAAATGATGAAGGCAGGAATCAGGCAAGCATGAATCAGGAAAAACATTGCTTTGGCATGAATGTGACTACTTTGCAGCATTAGATGACCCACTCTCAGAGAAGAGGATCAACTATTAACACATTCACTTCCACGTGTGACTGTAAAAAAAAAGAGTACTTTTTCAACCATCAGAAATAAATTTATGGTCAAGTTGTGAGTGAAAATCGGTATCTGCATCACTTCTTCTGTGTCTCCTTTATGTTTTCCTTATGTTTTGTAGCATTTGGGCTGCACCTGTTGAAGAATTTAAGAAATTGAGAATTATTTAGAAGGAGGCATGAATATGTCGTATGCCATCTTTGGTAGCAAATGTGTTGACAAGTTGAATCCACAAGTACCCGTTATTTCCTAGCTGTTGTGACCCAAGTGTTGCAGTTATCTTCTTCTTCTTCTACCAGCTGTTCCCACTTTCATGTGGGGTCGCTGCAGCAGACACCAATCTCCTCCATCTGTCTCTGTCCTGGACATCCTCCTCCTCCGCACCAATCCCTCTCATGTCCTTCCTAACACAATCCATCCATCTCCATTTAGGCCTTCCTAATTCTTCTTCTTCTTCTTCTACCAGCTGTTCCCACTTTCATGTGGGGTCGCTGCAGCAGACACCAATCTCCTCCATCTGTCTCTGTCCTGGACATCCTCCTCCTCCGCACCAATCCCTCTCATGTCCTTCCTAACACAATCCATCCATCTCCATTTAGGCCTTCCTCTTCCTCTCTTTCCGGGCAAACCCAGCTCCATTGTTCTTCTTCCAACATAGGTTTCTTCCCTTCTTTTCACATGTCCATACCATCTCAACCGTGCTCTCCTGCATCTTGATGTAACACTCTCCACNTGTCTGTGGCTACATTTTCCCAGTTGTCACCTCCATCTCTTTTCCTGATGTTTAGCCTCTCAGTTACATTCTCGACAAACCTTTCCTTGTATGCCACCTCTTTCAACTTCCACCATCTGGTCTTTGTTGTTCCTGTTGTTTCCCTTCTTCTTTGTTTGGTAGTCTTCATTGTACAAACGACTGGCCTGTGTTGAGTTGTGACACTCTCTCCCAATATCACCTTGCAGTCTTTGATGGAATCCTTGTTAGCTTTCCTACACATGATGTAATCAATCTGTGATGCCACTTGTCCACTCCTGTATGTTATTAGATGCCTTTCTGCTTTCTTGAAATAGGTGTTTAGCACCACCAAACCCACGCTCATTGCGGAATCAATGATCATCTCTCCCTCCTTATTTCTTGCTCCCACTCCATATATACCGATGACGTCCTCCATCCCTGTTCTGTCACTTCCTACACGGCCATTAAGGTCTCCTCCGATCAGCAGTCTCTCCTCACTGGGGATCTCTCCTATCTCTTCCGTTAGCTCCTCCCAAAATCTGATCTTTTCCGCTTCTTTACGTCCAGTCTGTGGGGCATACACACTCATGATGTTAACAATTTCTCCTTCAAGTCCTATCTTCATCCACATGATCCTGTCAGATTTTCTCCTGGTGTCCAACACACACTTCTTCAGGTCGTTGTCCAGTATGATTCCAACACCATTTCTCTTTGCATCGAATCCACAGTAAAAGAGCTTATAGCCATTTCCAATCTCTCTTGCCTTCATACCCTTCCACTTCGTTTCTTGCACACACAAGATGTTAACTCTCCTTCTCTCCATGAAATCGACCAGTTCCTGTCCTCTGCCCGTCATAGTTCCAACATTGAGGGTTCCAAGTCTGATGGTCTTCTTCTTCTCCCTACCCTCTCTTCTCTTCCGTCGTTGAGCTATCTTCTTTAGCCGTATGCGCTCTTCATACGGTAGCCGTCGCTGTCTTGTCACGAGATTACGGCGGTCTTCTCGCGCGTCGCTTGCGGGGGACGCCCTAGCTGTCACTCTACTTCCATTGTTGTCTGCTTTCATAGTTGATTGGAGCAATGTTTTACGCCGGATGCCCTTCCTGCCGCAACCCTCCCCATTTACCCGGGCTTGGGACCGGCCTTGGCTGGGTTAAGTGTTGCAGTTATCATAGTTGCCATATATGATTGTCCTCACTCTGAAACAAGGTACACCATCACTGCACTGGTCACATTCAGAACAAAGAAAATATGCATCCTGGGTCATGCTAAGACCTGCTCCCACTATCCAAACAAGCAAGTCTTGATGAAATGGTATCAGTTTTGCATAATTAAACATTAGCACCCACTTAAACAGATAAGAGAGAGAGAGTGTGTGAGTGAGTAAGTGAGTGAGTGAGTGAGATTTTGATGCTGAAATTTTGCTTGCACATTGATTAATATGTTCTATCTCTTAGAAACTAAAATGATTTTTCTTCACTAAGAAAGTAACCTATTTATTTTCTTATATACAGAAAGCCTTTAAAAAAATATATATTTCAGAGTACTTAAAATTCAATTACAAATCAAGCTGTCCCTATCAAGCTTTTATTATATGTTCTTGCTGTGATTGAGTGCATGCATGAAAGGAGTATGCCCAATATAATGTTATTTTGGCCCTTAAACAGAATTCAATGAGTCCTATATCATTTGAAAGGGTGTCCTTTGCAGAGTAATGAAACACCACTTTTACTCTAATATGAAGGGTTTGAAAAAGTTAGGTTAGGTTAGGTTAGGTTAGGTTAGGTTAGGTTAGGTTAGGTTAGGTTAGGTTAGGTTAGGTTATGGTAGGTTATGGTAGGGTAGGTTAGGTTAAGTTAAGTAAGTTAAGTTAAGTTAAGTTAAGTTAAGGTTAGGTATGAAGTTATTTTGCATGGATTTTTCATCAGAACACATACTTTTAACAGTTTTGAGGGAAGGGAACTGCAGACTACTAAGAAAAAATCAATATAAATACAAGTGAATTGTATTTTGTAAAATCTTACAATGTATCTAAGCATCATTAACTTTTATATCATGAATCATATATACAAGCTTTCTTGCTGGATGTTTCTATTAACAGCTGAAGTTCACCATTTACCTCCTATGTGATGTTCTTTCTAAGTTGTTGGAATGCGGAGGGCATTTATTAGAAGTTCGAATTGAAAACAGTAAAATCATTTAACCTAACCTAACCTAATTTTTTGAAACCCTTCACATTTGGATAAAAATGATAAATTTCTTGTTCACAAGTGAAACCAATAGCATAAATATTAATTTCATCAAAATCGGTTTATGGCCAAAAATGGGCAAACCTAACCTAACCTAACCTTAATCTAACCTAACTTTTTCAAATTGCTCAGATTTGAAAATGGTTTAAGGGCCAAAACTGGGCATACTCCTTTGAGCTCCACCCACTGGCTGTTTATGGAGATGAATTTCATAGCTTTGCTGAAAAAACCACAAATTAAATTACTTCAATTTTTATCTAAGATAATGGTAACTATAAATTTGCAAGACTTGGTCTAGATTCTACTCAATAAAGTAGTTGTTGCTCACGTTTTTTGTTCATTTAAAATTTTACATTGTTGTTCTTTTTACTAGGGCTGTACCAATATATTCGCTAACACCGGTATCAGCCGCCAGTGTTGCACTATCGGCACTATTGGCCATTGGCCTATGGTGCTGGTACCTAAAGGACGAGCAAAGGGAAACAAAAAATTACACGAGGGTGTGAATGTGGCTAGGCGCAAGGCCTCATGTCTCACTGAAAACCACTCCTGGCAACATCTCCCAGACAAAAATATTTATCAGATTATGTTACAGCCAGATTATAGGAACTGGCAGAGGAAAGGAACGGTAAAGAAGGGAAGTCGTTGTGTCTCCACTTATGTTATGCTTTTGGAAGGGATGTGTCACTAAATGCTCTGAATGGCAGCAATGGACAAGCTAACCACTGCCAGCCTTATAGAGAGACAGACAGGCTGGACAGGACCAAAAGTGGTCTCTATCATTTCAAAGAGGCCTACTGATATGTATCGCATGGCTTCCAATTAGACCCATTTGAATTTTTAGGCAATTTCTTCTACAAGTCACAATTGACACCAGCACCAACCAATGGTTACAAAGAAAAAATTGGCCATTGGCCCACCGGCCAAATGTGGCCACCGGTTCAGCTCTACTTTTTACCCATATTCATCCTATGACATACTTGTACATCACAGGGTGCAAACAGGTTAAGGGATAGTCCTCTATGACTTTGATTAACCTCTTAGACTTAAACTGACTGCTACTTTCAAAGAAACCTTCTATCTGCTTTTATATGACTGTCAGTTGTAGGTATCTTTGGCCTATACTATGTTGCTTTTGGTCATATTTGCTGCAAAGCCTTCAAAGTTATTTTTAAAATTTGTTGAAAAATAACTGAAATCCACCAAATCTGGCGTATACAAAATACATTCAGAAAGTAATAATCATTGTGGCACAGCTTCATCTTTCCAGAAGTAGCACGAAGTCCCTTCTGTGGTGTTTAGTACTGATGAGCACATGCCATGAGTAGGATCTTCAGAAACATGTTAAATGAAACATGTAGAAGTAATTGGATGTCATTCCAGAACTGCATGACCACATAGTGGTCAATCAGGTAGCTTTTATGTTATATGGTGCCCTACCTCAGCAGTGCGCAAACTGGGGGCCTGAACCCGGGAGGGGGGGTGCAGACTTTGGCCTTTACTTTACCTATTTCTTGGAATCAGAGAGTTTTAGGGTTAAAAATTAAATAAATAGGGAAAAATGAAGAAAAGCACTGCAAATCCATCAAATATTCAAATAAATTATTTGCAGTATCAGATTTATGAGTATAAGAATAGTTATACTTTGTGGTATGTGAGAATTTGATTCTAATAAAATTTATGCCTGAATCCTACCTGAAGTGTCATGGGTAAATTGCTAATTAAATTATTATGAAACTACAAAAATAATTAGGAGCAATTGTGCAGGCCTGTGTTTTTACTAATAACTATAAAGTAGGGCTATCATGATAGGTCATACATCAATATGACTCGATGGTAGGAGGTATTGATAGTTTTTCTGATCATGGCAAGGTATTGACAGAATCTTTGAAGGAGAAGTGTGGCATTGGATTGCGATGAGTATAGCACAATATAGTCCTTCCAGGTGGGGAAAGGAAGAGGCATTTTGTGGCATTGCACTATTCTTAATAGTAGTGATTTTAATTAAGTTAACACTATACTACAAAAAACCATATTTTCATGTTTTCTCTATCAAACCAACTTGCCTGAAATTACAGTCAGTTTCTGATGATATGGAAATGGTGTGGGGGGGAGGAGGGGTGATAGTTGGAGTGGGGAGCACAACCAAATACATGGATGAAAAGGGGGGCTCGGCATGAAAAGTTTATGCTCAATCCAGTAAAGGACGTGCTTAGAGCAGACTTTGGGAACAGAGTCATCAGCTGGCAATTCCATGGGAATGACCTATATCATCCAACCTGGTTCATGCTGACATGGCTGTGGGCTTCCTGAAGGCATATGTCTGCTGAGACACCTACCCGTCACTCCCCGACTTAAGAGGACACCATTTGACAGAAAGTGTCCATTGGACATGCTACATTCTGCTGTTGAGAAAATTGCTTCCAGAAACAGTTGACACTACCAGTAGAATGCCCTTTAGTCTCTCATAATATAGCCTAGACATACCAGAAACTCCTGAATGATGTATGCAATGGTGGCAACCTCATGACCTTCATTCAATGTTGCCATCTTCAACATGCTTCATTTAAGCTCTTCCCTAAGATTTGTAGACATGAACTTGAGAATCTGAGCACACTAGTGTACTAGCATTCTTATTGTCAAACACCATGGAAGGGTCTTTATAGTCATGTTGTAAATGCAAATAATGTGATATTTTTCTTTAAATCTGGATCTGATCTTTGTGATACTCAAAATTTTTTATTTTTAATCTTTAAGATTCAAAAGGAACTTTTTGTTCTTTTCAATTTAGCAGGATCAGTATGAGATCAAAAGGGAATGACTTAAGCTCAACATCAATTCAAAACCAACATATGGGATAGATTTATCAAGATTTCCATATTGGTCCAAATTCAAATTATGATCAATTCATAATTCAACTGAGTTTTTTTCCTTTTAAATCTTGTAACAGGTGCTAGCTTTTCTCTCAGGATAAGTATGGCATTTCAAGCCTGGGATTGACATAGCCCTAACCCCCATTGGTAGAGTGGTAAAAGCCCTGATACAGACCCATATTTTTATCCTTAGACTATTATTCAAATCCTTGAAATCAAATCAATCTCCCTATTCTGCTCAAAGAATGCTCCTCCCATCCTTTCTTCACTGTGTGCCCCCTTCAGACAAGTCTCATTGATATGTTTTAAATTTTGTTGAAAATGAATTTTTGGCCTGACTGAAAATCAGCTAGTTTGCCATCACCATGAGTGATGCTCAAGGCTGCCTTTGGACTTTGCCAACCTATGATATTGAGAGGCTATGTTTGTACTTTGACAGGAAGGAAGATGAAGGACCAAAAACAGGGGTTGATTCAGGAGGAGTATTTGATGATCATCAAATGATGGTGGGAGATGATGTCAACAAACTCAGGGAGGTCTTGAGTCGTTCTGCTCACTCACCCAAAGAGAAATTCTTCATCCTTGACACTCGTGATCGCATCATCAGGCTCTGTGAGTTCAGTTCACCTCAGCTATTTCCTTTCTCACCATATCCTCATGAAAGTGATGTTGAGTAACATCATTGTAGGTCGTGTGAAAGAAATGGAATTATCCAAGGCTGTGGCCTTGAAAGGGACATGCCTGGACATGTGTCCAGAGAAAGAGCGCTACCTTCGCATAGACAGGAAGCGTGTCTCTCCCTTTGAACACCCTCCACCTTGGGTACCATTCTCTCCCTCTTCATTGTACCTCTAAAGTGATGATAAGCCTTTGAGAGTGGTGTGAATTCCTTTGTGAACCAACCAGGTATCCAGAGGAGGGGAAACAGATGAGCGATGCATGGTAAAGGAATACAGTCGAAGTAGTGCTGACCAAGAGGAACCTCTTCCTCATGAATTGAGACCTCCCCCAATTTTATCTCTCACCATGGACTATCTCCTTGCCAATTTCATGGATCAATTCAACCCTGATAACCTAGGGGATTGGTACTTCTTTCTCTGGGATCGTACTCGCAGTATCCGCAAGGTGTTTGTGCTCTCCTCTTTCTCTTCCATTTCTCTTTTACAGTCACATATATGTGGTTTCTGCTGCCCTGTGAACAGGACATCACCCAGCAGCAATTGTGTGACCTCACAAGTGTTGGGGTAATGGAAAAATGTGTCCGGTTTCACATTTATGCTTCCATGGCTCTATCTGGCCAGGATATGTTCGTTTTTGACCCCAAGATTAATAATGAGAATTTGACCAAATCCCTGAAGACATTGAAGGACATGTATTCTGAGCTGCACTTGAAAGGCATCCTGTGTGCACGGGAGCCAGAGTTCCGGGGTTATGACATCCTCCTTAATCTCCATCAAGGAGACATCTTCAGGTTAGTCACTTTCTCCCACCATGGTTCTGAATGGTCCCTATGACACTATTATCCAGTGGCAAGTATACAAATGTATAATGGCAGTTGGGTGTCTGGGCTCATTGACAGTTGTAAATTGACCATACAGCAGCACATTCTCAATTGAATGCTGGGTGGTGGTTCAAAAATGTACAGAGATTTTTGCTTTCATTTTTTTACTTCCAGATGAGGCAAAGGTGTATGAAATATACCAAGTATGCACCTATCTTTCCTCTTAGCTCCATGAAAATGATGAATTTTAGCTACTTGAGTACACTGACAACAGCAGAGGGTCAGTGCACAAATGCAGTAGGACATCAAACTGACTTATTGGCACTAAAAGTCTAGCTAGTTGGTTAGTTAAGTGAACCAAGATGGTTCATTTCATTGCCGAACAGAGAGCTAACTTTCAACAGGCCTGGAATGAGATCATCATGGAGGAGATCTGCAAGTCTGTTACTTGATGGAAATCGTTATGTGCTGTATGCAGCACTGAAGGAGGACACATTGTGCATCTTTTTTGGATTAGAAGAGGTGTGATATGAAACATTTTGAGGTGCTTTAGTTGAACAGCTGCTGTTGGATGTACTCTGGTAGTTAAAAATTCTCAATATTCATAGGGCCAAGAGGAAAGGTGGATGTATACTTGGTATGATTTGTATGCCTCTGCTCCATCTGGAAATTTGAAAATGAATACAAAAATCTCTGTGTTTTTTATGCACCACCTGATACTTTAAGGTCTGTTTTTCAAGGGTTTACTGTAGTTGTTTTCTCATGCCAGTCTGGTATTTCTCATTGAGAAACCCCATGGAATGCATGCATCTTTTTGTATTTGCTGGAAGTGCTTGCTCAGTAAATTTTTGTTACTGTGTTGCTTTCAACTTGCACTCGTTGAGACATGATGAGTAGTAGACAGCTGATAAACTTATTTGGAATGGGTAGGCAGGAAATATTTTTTTTAGCGAATTTTAAACTTGGGATGTGTGCATGAAAATGGAGAATACTTACCATGGTCTCTCTGGGAATGTGTTGATGGTCCAGTACTTATGTGATGCTTTGTGGATTGAGAGAAGCCATAACATTACATGCAGGCAGATTCAGGAGTTGACAGAGAGCTTGAGGTCTACAGGAGAAGTTAAATTTGCTATCTCCATTGCCTTGGCCTTCACCAGTCGCAACTATGTGCGTTTCTTCAAGTTGGTGGCCAAGGCATCCTACATGAATGCCTGTATCCTCTTACGTTACTTCAATCAAGTCAGGAGTCATGCTTTGCGAACAGTTGTCCGAGCATTCTGTCCTGGCTCCAAGGGTCAAGTTCAGGTTGGTCCACTCTCCTTTCGAAAAATCTTCCTTTTCAGCTTGCTGCTGCCATGCAGAAACTCCCCAGTTAAGTGGTTAAGCAATAGCTCAGGAATTTTAATTCACAGAATGTTTTACTTTCTGCAGGTTAAAGAAATGGTTTTGTTTTCTGCAGGGTAGAATGTGGACTGCAGAGATTTTCTGAGGATGAATCCCTTGGATGCGCCCTTATTAACATGCATTGTTGAGCTATATTTTCAGTGATTTCATTGTAGCAACACAGATGGCCTTAAAACCTAAATTTATTCATCAAACTGCTCCAATAAAGAATGCCACATTGTCCATTTTATCTTGCAATATTTCATGAGACACATTCTGTTGGACCATAGAAGTACCTATGACATCCCTCTTTTCATGTGCCAGAAACCATAGCTATAATAAGTGTAGCTATTTAGAGCAGTCTGGCAAAGTCAATGGACTGTTTTTCAGTGGAAACCTATGTCAGTGTTGCAGTGGTATATCCCTCACGAAGACATGAATTTATTCCCATTCAAAATTTGACTTATTCTGAAGCTTGAAAAAGGGGATAAGGCAGCATGCTGTCAATGGGAATAAATGCTGGCCTTTGTGAATGATGCAATGGACAGTTGTAGACTGTCATTGGTTTCCCCCAACATATGGTGTACTAACTTTGCCTTGCTTTGCCAAATAGCCGCACTTATTGCAGCTGTGGTATGTGTAATGTGAAGCAAGTGGCTGTCCTGGATGGTTTGATGGTTCAACAGAACCTGTGGCATGGAATTTCACTATGTATGTCCATATGGTGTTCCTGCTTGCTCCATCTCAAGAACTAAGTTCATGTTTGAAGGCCCTTTGCATCACTATGATGGATTGATGCTGGAAATACAGCTCAACAAGGGGTTTTCAGATGAGCTAATCCTAAGGATCCATCCTCAGTAAATCTGAGGTAAATTAAAGATCAGACTCTAACCAATAAAAAATTGAAACAATTCTATATAATACCATTCCTGAGTTATTATTGCAACAAAATGAATATGTCAGACATTCATAGAATACCCTGTATGTGTGTCTTAGTAAGCAGTAGGATAGGGTAACTTGGGGGAATATGGCCATCGGGGTAATATGGCCCTTCACAAGGAATCCCCTTATAGACTGAATAATTAGTTTGGGCGAATTTAAAAAATAGTTCTATCGAAGAGTACATGCAATTGTCGAAATGTGTAGACCTGTTCATCAATCCA